TTAGAATGCTGAGGATTTGGGTTTTGCTGTTGTTGGGGCTGACCGCTCATGACTACAGACTCACAGCTATTGTCTGTAGTCGTCCCAGATGTCTGTTCATCAGAAAAGAAGAGCTAAGATTAAGAAATAGCAATCATAATAGCACATTAGTTAAAGACAAAGATGAAGGTCATAGTTCTAAAAGGGATTACACTATGCAGTTGCTGGCGCATAAATCCATTCTCATACACTAAATGGGACACCTGCTTCTGTAAACGGTCATTCTCCTCCATCAACAACTTGTTCATCGCAGACAACTTTCGGTTCACGCTCTGGAGGCGAGAAGATTCCTTCCTCTGCTTCTCCCGGCATCTAACAGAGAATAATGGAAAAAAGGAACTGTGAAATTGTTTTGGCACTGGTGCAGTAAGAAGTTTAATTAGATTATCATCTTAGAAAACTAACCAGAAGGTTATATAGTTTTAGTTCAAATCCAAACAATTAAAGACAGTAGTCAAGCACTTGAATGAACTTTAACCCCAAAGCACAGAAGTTCTATGGACAAAAGTGGTTATTTTCAATCAAAAGCATCACTTCCTTACAAACCCATCTCCCATAGCTATTCAACTCCTTGCCCAGATGTACCACAAGCTCATACCCCAAACCAAAACTAATGACAGTATTTCGGATAGCAAAAACAAACAAACAAAAACACTTAGTACATGTTTTCTGAAAGAGAGATTCTCGTTCTGAAAAGAAAAGAGAAGAGAAGCAACAAATAGAATAATACCTGCGGTTTTGAAACCAAACTTTGATCTGTTTGGGCTCAATATTAGAAAGGATTGGGCACTCTCTAATGAGCTGCTGCCTTCTAAGAGAACTGGGCTTTGGACATTCTGCATAGACTCTCTCTAATGCCTCAACCTGTTCAGGCGTATACCGTACGTATTTGCTTGTATCCATCTGTTGGTTTGATGAGTCTTTGTGCATTACAAGCGCCATGAACCTTTTGAAACGAACTGGAACAAAGAAAGATTCAAAACCCACCAAAAAGAAAGCCTCAAGGACTGAAATTTTATGACTGAGAAAAAAGGGAAGTTAGCAGCAAAATGGGATTTGAGGGTCGTCTTGGTCTTCTTCTTGAGCGGTGTTGGTGTTGGTGTTGGTGTTGTTAGTGTTTTTACCGGGCAGGCTCTCTCCTCCAAGAGAGCCTCCTCTCTCCTTCATCAGTTAGTGCTCTGCTTCTTCCTCAAAGCACACAGGTTGAAGAAGAGCATGAACAGAGTCCTCTGCTCTTTATCACACAAAAACACCAATTTCGAGGAAAAAAGAAAATCCAAAACCAAAACCCACAGAAAGAAAAGCAAAAGACGTGGACAGAGAAAGTATTATAAACACAAGAAAACAAATATCCAATGGCAATCCAAAAGCCAGGTGGCTAATTCCTCTTCCCAACTTTCTCTCCCTCTCTCTCTCTCTCTCTCTGGGTTTTTCTGCAACAAATAAAAATTGAAAATCCCACTGAGTGATGTGAAAATTCAAAAAGAAAAGAAAAGAAAAAGAAGGATTAATTGAGAGTAGGCAGTGTCAGAGAGAGGCTGAGAGGGGCATTTGTTTTATTTAAAGCCTGTCCCATAAACTCAGAAGGCCAGAGAGGAAGAACGGTTCTTTTGAATAATGGGTTCTGTTCTTCATCTTCATTTCTCAATCTCTAAGAACAAAAAGAAAAAAAAACCATGTTCTTACTTACTTATTGTTATGTATCTGAAAGAGAAGGAGTTTTATTAGGTGAATATGAAGTAGCGGAGAGGCAAAGTGGCCAAAATTATTACCTTTGGCCTTTGGACTTTTGCCAACTTTATCTTTGGCATTATTCACTATCATTTCTGTTTCTGTGCTATTTTCTTAACTGGCTAATCTTTTACATTCAACAATACCTAAAGATTTGGTCTTTTAGATCCATGTTGGTGTTTCTAACTTTAGCATTTTAGGTATACCTCCTCCATTTTTTGTCATACAATTTGTTCCCAATCACTTCGCCTTCTTATAGCTGTTTTAGTAAATTTAGTTTCTTTGGGTTTGCAATTACTCGTGTGCATGCACTTTGAGACGGTTGTATCTCCCAGAAGCTAAAGCTGAATCAGTTGCAACGTTCACGATCTTAGATCAATCCAGTCCAACTAATTCCACTTTCTATTCTCTACAAACTTGTCAAACCAACAACCAATTAAACATCTTTAACTAGCTAAGAGTAGTAGGCACGATATCCAAATATATGCGTATGTATGCTCAAAGTCAATCAAAGAAAGTGGTAATAAAGGAAGCAACTTTACAAATAGCTATGAACACAAGCAGTAAAAAAATGATTTATCTTCTAAATAGAGGAAGAAAGAGGTCCCAATTTCATTAGTGGAATGGTCATGGAACACTATCAATAGTCCTCTTTAACCAAAGAACTTGTTTAAGCATGAAAAATGGTTTTAAGATTTGGAAGAATGGATAGGAATCTATTGAAAAAAAGTAAGGGCTATGGGCTATATAGTGTCTTCAAAGCAATTTGGTTTAGGGTTTAGGATTAAATTGATTACTACTTTCAAAATTTACAACACTTCAGTGCTATCATTTCTTGGGCAGCACTAGCACTACTTTTTATTGTAGAAACTCTACCCCTACAATATATATATAGGGAGAGAGAGAAGTTGTTTTAAAAAATGGTGTATTTAACTAGTTGAGTTATGTTTAGGTCGACAACCATTCGTATCTGCTTCACTTCTCCTACCCGACTAAACCTTAGTTCCTTCCTTTACTCTTATGGCTGATATTATGACAAAAGGCCAAAATTCTGGTGCTAAGCTTTTAGATGTTTGCAGCCGAAGCTCTGTTTTTTGTTCCAAAAAAAAAGAGAAAGAGCATAGCTTTAGGAAAGTTTTAGTCTTATCAAGAGAATCTATCAGAGTGAAGAGAGAATCCAAGTTAAAATCTTTGCTCACTGACCAAAAATAAAGGCTAAGATTTCACACAAAGAAGACAGTGTCCAGAAGAGCCAATTAGAGGCATAACCCTTTTGTTAATTATTGCTTTTATCTTCAATATCCAACCACTCCCCGCATTAAATATTTGTGATATTAAATATTTGCTAAGTTTATAATGCATCATATTGTTAAAAAGTGTGTTGAAGCTAATGGGTAATGATTGATAGTGTTGTTATGAGAGTTTGGGGCATGCAATAATGTTTTACAATTCCCTTGTGGGACACTTTTTCTTTATTCTAAACTTTGTTTTTAATTTAATCACAATCATATGGTTAATTAACAGCATAAAGCAGCTGGATAGCCATTGCCCCAACTGTTCATACAAGTCATTTATATGCTGAAACCAAATAGCTTTCCAGAGGGAACTCATGCTTGAATCTTCATTTAGAGGTCAAAATTTCAAAAGATGAGTTTCTTAGAATCTGGGTTGATTTAGTTTTATGTGTTTGAGCTTACTTTCATACCCTTTTGCTCAAAAGAACAAAAGTAATTGACTTAGAGGTTGACATTTTAGTACAAAGGGCTTTGATATCTGTAAAGCATCCAAGGTTTTGATGTGTTGAAGATAAGTTAAGAGTAGTGGGGTTATGATGGGAATTGAGGGAGAGATGAGTCAATGGCTATGCAGACTCTCTCTTGCTGTTTTCTTGTCTCCTTGCCTACATATCATTCATCATCAAACCCCTCCTTTCTCTGTTTCTCTCCATTTTAACTTTAATAACTTTTACTTTTGTTTTGGAAGAGATGAGGCCAAACCCACTAAAAAAGAAACTAAAAGTTGAAGAGAAGGGTTGTTTTCGTGTCTCCTTTCGCTACTTACTCGTGTTTTTTTCAGACGAATAACTTGACTCAAGAGTGAATTTTCACTAAAAAGAAAGCTTTAGGATGCAAAATTTAAACTTTGGGGTCGACACATTCTGTCATGCACCAAAAGGAGTAGGGTCCTTGATTCATAAATATGTGTGTGTGTGTGTATATATATATTGAAGATGAAAACCCCACCTTCTTTATCCTAAAATTTGTGCCTTTGCTTGCATTTTACACCTTGCTTTCTCTGTCATGTATGCATGATAAGTGATGGAGCGGAAGAATCCCAACTTTAGGGGAATACTCATGTGAAGCAAAATGCCAAAAACTGTTGTATTTTTGCTATTCATTATGGCTTTGCTATCACATAATACATCCCAATTATGATTTGGAGTAATCATGAAGTTTGAGACTTTTGCATTTAAATATACGTTTTTTTAACAGTTCTGGTTTTAAAATCTTCTGAAAAAGGGTTTAGTGGGTGGGCACTAGTGCATGAAATTGCATTTGCCTCCATCCTTAAACCTCTCATGCATTATAATAACAACCTTTGAGGATTCATAACAACACTTTTAACATTGTTATTATACATAACATGAGATGAGAAGAGAAGGTTGAAGAAGATATTATTAGAAAGGTAATGGAGATTTGAAAAGAAAGTGTTTGATATACAAGGAATGCAAGGAATGGGGGTTTGATAGGGACTCCACACAGTCTGCATAGGACACCACCTAACACTCTTGGAACAAAAGTGGCTCAGATTTCAATAGCAAACCCTCTGTAATATGGGTTTGCTTTGTACACGTGAACCAACCCACATTACATTTCATTTCTATTTTTAATTCTTCACAAACCTGTATGAATGAAAAGATTCTCACCTTTTTCTCCCTTTTGAGAGACCCTATCCTCCTGCAAACACTTAAAGAAACGACAAAACAAGGTTCAACAACGGGTTAACATATTACTATTTTTACTTCTGCCTTTTCCTTTGCTACTTCAATGCAGGAACAAGCAAATATGAGTAAGTTCACTTAATGAATGTTGACTAGAAAAGGGTAAAATCCAACCATTCAGGATGGAGCCATTGATGGAAATGAAGAATGGGAACTGAAAGTTCTAAGCTTTACTAAAGAAGCATAGCTGAAGTGAGCAACTTGAATTGAATAATATAAACAAAAGACGTTCAGGTTAGTTTCCTGCAGTGTGTACTATAAACAAAAGATACCAATTCACCTTCTCGTTATTTACAAGTTCAAAACTTCCCCAAGACTGATATGGAGATGCTGTATAAGACCAAAACCTACCAATGTACAATATGTTCTTGGGGATCATAACAGCTAAAATGGCAAAGGAAAAGTGTTTACGATGAATTATGTTCTTGGGGATCATTACAACCAAAAGCTACCACTTCACTTATTCTTGAGATGGGGAGAAACATAAATAGAACAATCAGCTTACTCACTTCAGTATTTACGACGAATTATCCTGCATACTTTTGCCTGCTGCATTTTGGATCCTCCCTAAGTAACAGCTACTGAAACCTATATGCTACAAGGCTGCTAGTATAGACTAAGGATGAAGTATTACTAACACAACTGAAGCTGGTATTGGGACTTCAATTTCCTTACAATTGCTGGCATGCGCTGTTCATCATTCACCAACAATGCCTCAGGCATCAGTTCTCTGAAGAAGCTAGATCACTTCTATCAGAATTAAGATTTATATTGGGATGTGATTTATCACCTGACGCCACTTCATTTTGTTGATTCTCATTTTTATTTGATTTGAGAAACCGTCCACCACAACCCCTAGCTCTCCTCAATGCATGCAAATGTCGAGATTCATGCAAGTATGGCTGCACAATATACAGAAGCTAAGCAGTCAAAAACTAAAGAATGAAGCAACATGAAAGGTTGCAAACCGAAAACAAAAGCAATTTGATAGGTTATGCTACCATTAAAGGAAGTGGAGGACTACCACCACTAAATATTAGTGCTTGCATACCTTCCTAGACTTCAGAGCTTTATTTTCTGATTCAGCCTTTGCACGGGACTGTCTACGTCGCAAAATGCCATGATACTGCTTAGCATTCACAAAAACAGGCTCCTCAACTGCATCTGTTGGCAAAGGAACACCAGCTTGCTGAATTCCCATCAACTGCAGATGAACCTATATGAGCAATAAACAAGGAATCAAGTAACGACTAGAAAATGTAAAAATTATATAAAAAAAGTCATAAATCATATTGAAAAACAGCCTGATAAATTAAGATTCATTCATGTTGATGTCCGCATTCATAAATGCTGTTCATTCTTTAGGTTCAAGAAAGCCATTCCCCTGTATCAATTCTCACCAACAAACTCGTCAACTTGATATCTCTATGGAAAATGTTGGTCAAATCATCAAAATTATTGAAGGAGGACAAATTACTTACCATAGGTTGCCCACCATAGGGCTGTGGAGGACACGGTTGAGCATCATAAGGAGAAAAGATGCTTCTATAATAAGGATCTGGATATGGATAAGCAGGGGGTGCCTTCAGCAGAGAAGTCCCACAAATCCAAATTAGTCAAATAAGCTTTAAAAAAGTAGTTGCCAACGAAAAAGTAAAACTAAAAACGAGATTCTCCTAGTACCAAAGCATGTCCTGCTCCAACTTGTAGAGGTGTTAAATACTGATTTGAGGCTGTGATGCTGGGTTGATTTAGTCCATTAATGACTGATGAAGAATGATTCTGAGATTCAGAGTACTTTTGCAGCTTATCAGCCTCACCATTATCTGAACAACCAGTTTCCAAAGCAATATTTATCTAGGCCCAGTTGGAGTTAAAAGACAATATTGTAATATCACAAAGCAATCAGTCGAGCTCAGTAAACTCTATTGAGCCGCAGAAGTGACCATCAAATGTAACCTATAATATCAGGTTCATATAAAAAAAAAACATTAAAAAATGGATGGAGACGATATTCGCGTAGAAAAGTGGAGCTCACATAAGGAGCCCATGGTATGTCCCAAAAGAACGCTTTAGAGACTATAGTCTGAACAAAACAGATGCTATAAGGAAAGTAATTAATGCAAGCAAACATAGCAAGTTTTCTACTTGGAATACAAAATACCAACCAACAAAGTCCTGGCTTTCAATTGCAAATGCAACTTCTGATAGAGCTAAGCTAAGTGTGGGGGAAGTAGCATTGTTCTCTCTCTATTTCAGCGAATGATTTAACGTATCCTACACTGAAATGTAACTAGAATATAAAAATAAGCACCATAACACAGGAATACAAGTCTGATCAAGTTACCAGAATAATCGTGGACAGAAGAAGTCATCGGGTTGTAGTGAACACCACGTGAAACCTGATATCAAGGCCAACAAATTTGTCAGCTTAATGAAATTGGGAGGGTTTGCATGGATACGGAATTGATGCAAGGGATAATGCAAAGCATAAAAGCAATATGTAATCAATCCGACACGAGATCAACCAAATGATTGGTAAATATGGATTATTAACTTCAGTCCTCTAGTGGTCGACAAGGTAAGTGTACAGCAATCAGATGAGATTGACGTGCATAACATGTACTTTTGGCCCCCATTTTGGCAGACAATTCAGAGTCGTCTCAGTACTCCAATAGCTTCTGCTTTCTGGGTAATTACCCAACAAACCAGGATACATATATGATCGTTAAACAGAAAAACGGGACTTCAGCCCCAACTATCATAATCTAATAACTGGCTTCAAGCAATTCACTCGACATAAAAGAAACAGATTATCATCCAATTTATAGAGAGAAAAAACAATCGGGCAGGCTAACCAAGAAAGAACAACCCATGAAACCAACAAAATCTGAATTCGAAAAGAGAAATTGAAAAGGAAGAAACCCAAAATCCATGAGTAGGGTTTCGAAATGCGAAGCACACCTGGAAAGCGGGAATTCTGTCTGCTGAAGCTGATGACTGTGAGTTTTGTAGCCGTTTTTTCGTCTTCTGTGTTTCTTCTTGATTTCTTAGGTTGAGGAAAGGGGACAGCCGAAGCTTAGAATACAATTTCTAGAGCCCTGCCGCGTGTCTGAGCAGCCATGACTATGAGAATGGGGCGGGCAGTTCGGGCAGAGGGAATGCGGTGACCGAGATGATGAGCTGGCCAATTTAGACCATGGGTATCTTAGCTGGTAGATACCCATTGTCGGAGATAGGTCCCTGCCGGCTGCCACTCAAATTCCCCAAAAAAAAGCTCGAAGATTTAATATGAATTGTTCTTGGAATCTTCTGGTCTTAGTTTTTTTCCTTTGCAACTTTGACTCTGTCAGATCTTTGATCTTATTTTGAATTAGTGTTTGTTTGTTTGTTTGTAAATTTAAACTTTGAACATTTAAATGTCAAACCTGTATTAAATATGAATGGTCTTTCTTTCATTCAATTCTGACTGTGAAATTCTCAATAATTATATTTTAAAAAATTAAAGACCAAATTGATAAATAGAGATTATTTTATTTAAAAAAAAAACGAAAGTTTAATATATTTCATTTTAAAATTTAAGGTTTTTTTTTTTTTTTTTTGAAGGTTAGTCGTTAGAAACAATACCAGGAAGCAACGTGGCTTTTGAAGTTCTGATGGCCGACCACGACCACCCCAAATTGAATAAATCATATCTGATTATAAATTTTTAAATCCAAAAATAATAAACGAAAAAAGGAGCCAATAATTCATATCCATTCCATCTCCCTCTAGTTACAAACCGCCCCTTCTCCCCACCCCCAACAAAAAACAAAAAAAAAAAAAAAATTGAAGGAAAAAAAGAGGGTGGAAGAGAAGAGTTCTGCAAATTTCAATCACCCACATCAACAGGGTATTGAAGATTCAGATTTTCCGGCCCATTCCCCTTTTTTCTCCANAAAAAAAAAAAAAAAAAAAAAAAAATTGAAGGAAAAAAAGAGGGTGGAAGAGAAGAGTTCTGCAAATTTCAATCACCCACATCAACAGGGTATTGAAGATTCAGATTTTCCGGCCCATTCCCCTTTTTTCTCCATCTCTCATCGACGATTTTGTTCAACAACCGATCTCGCTGGGTATTTATCATGGATTTCTACTCCAATCTTTTATTTACTGCACGCCTCGATCTTTGGGAATTTCAAAATCTGAGTTTCGAATATGTTTCATTTCCATTTTCGTTTTCTGGGTTCTTCCTTTCATTTCTGCCCATCTGCACCGATCATGTTTGTTTGGGTATAGATGTTGATTCAACTTGTTTTGTTATTTTGGTATTCATTGTTATTGCCAACTTTTGACCTTATTTGTATATGTATGTATCGACCTCATTGTTCATGCTTGAATGCGAAGGGGATATGGTTTTCAGCCGTTTTTTTGTCTTTTGATTTATGTTTCCACCCGATGGCGTCCCAAAGTTTGTTTGTTTTAGAGATGAAGGAAACTTTAGGGGAAAAGAACTGAAATCTGAAATCAATTCTGGCTGCTAAGTTTTCTTGTCATTGGAATGAGCCATTTGGGTTTCCATTGCTGCTGGCAACCTCGTTTTGAACTAAATGATATCATTTAATGCGTATTGGTATGTCTATGTTGATTCAGAGTATAAGGGGGCTTTAGGATTTAATTTTTGTTTCTTTTTTGTGTCAATTTATTGAAGGCAGCTTGTGGAACCATAGGATTTTTTGGATGATCCTTGATTGCTGGTTGAGCAAAGAATAATCGTGCAATGGAACTTGGAAGGCCTGGCTCAGGTGGTATCCTCACTGAAATTGGAGAATCAAACTATATATTTTGTGTGGCTTGGAAAATAATGTTATGCCTTTTATTGTCTTGTTCAGGCAAAAGAAGATTAAGGGACCTATTGCTTCAAAAGGATAATCGCTTCTGTGCAGATTGTCGAGCTTTAGATCCTAGATGGGCGTAAGTTTTGTTCAAACGATTGCGCAATAGAATGAATGTTATATTCTTCTGGAGAGCTATGAACTACTTGTTATGGATGTATATAACACTTAGGAGGATGCTTTTTGCAGGTCATCAAATATTGGAGTTTTTATATGCTTGAAATGCTGTGGTGTTCACAGAAGCCTTGGTTCACATATATCAAAGGTGAAAAGTGAAGTTGGATATTGTTGTCATCAACATGGTTTTATGCACTGTTCTCTTTATAAATTCGATTGAAGGCAATAACATATTTAGGTTCGAATGATTAGTTACTGGATTCAGAACTAGACCCATTAGACCACATTAGTGAGATGGATGGTCCTTTTTTGTTCGACATCCAAGGATTTCATCTACATGATAAAGTATAGGTCGTGACGTTGATGCCACTAAACAGGACAACAGTAGACCCCTCCATATCTCAATGTTGATATGACATTTGGTCTATATGCCCCATACAAATTTGGCTTTGGATATTATCTAAAATGTCTCATACCGTCAAAGATGTTTCTTGCTCATAAGTTGGGATGATCTATCCCAACTCTAATTGCGGATGACTTTGGTTATTGATTTGGACCAGGTGTTATCAGTGACGTTGGATGAATGGAATGATGATGAAATTGATGCCATGATAGAAATTGGAGGAAATAATTCGGCGAATGCGATTTATGAAGCCTTTATTCCTGAGGGATATTCAAAACCTGGACCGGATGCCACCCATGAACAACGTTCAAAATTCATTCGGTTAGACATGATTTAGTAACTGTGAAATGTATCCATGTTAAGGGTCTTTTGTTCTTAATCTTCTCCCTAGCCATGCACTATTTAAGTTCAAGAATGAGCGCTTATTATATTTGCTCTTTGTTTCTGACCTTTTGTGATATTATTTTATCTGATCCTTTGTAGTTCCTTAAACAATTAGCACAATACTTTGTTTTGAGTGCTGACAGTGGATTAGCAGGGGTTGAATTGAATAGGCAATAGTCAACTATGAGTAAAATTTCCAAGAGAAACGATTCAATGAATGGTCACTTGCATGAATTTGACACTTTTTGTTGTCTCTATAATTATTTTTACAGGTCCAAATATGAACTTCAAGAATTTCTGAAACCGAGCTTGAGAATTTTATCGAACTCCGACAAAAGCAATGTCCAAGCAAACTTTGCTTCAAAGGTCATGAACAGTTTTCGTTCAAATTCTTCACAAAAATCAGTGAGTCCTCGCTATAGCTTTTCTCCATTATTTCTCCCTTCAAAACTGCACTCTTCATGCTTGCTTACCATATAAACATTTTCAGGGCATATTGGAAATACTTTCTAATGTGGAAGTGTAAATTATTAGTTTTCGACTGATAAATGATGATCATCCAGCCTACAGTGTACCCTTTTCGATTTCATATTTACTAAAACTCTGCTATCTCTGAAATTTAAAGCACTTGCAGAAGGGTATGGTAGAGTTTCTTGGATTATTGAAGGTGAAAGTGATTAAAGGGACAAACTTAGCTATCAGGGATATGATGTCGAGCGATCCGTATGTAGTCTTGACTCTTGGCCAACAGGTTAGTAGTTTTCTTGCAAACAAGCTCTTTGTAGATTACTGCCATAGATTTTGATTGTTCTATTTGATGTAGATGATAACATTATGCTGTTTTTTTTCTTTTAGACTGTCCAGACAGGTATAATCAGGAGCAACTTGAATCCTGTGTGGAATGAGGAACTGATGCTATCTGTACCTCAAGCTTTTGGAACCTTAAAGTTGGTATGTCTTTCTAAAACTCTTTGCACTTGGTCTCCCTTTTTTAACCAAGCATACTAATCTTAATATAACCACAGAAGTTTGTTTCCCATTCATTAGTTTACTGACCATCTTGTATGAGATTGTTTTATTCAGTATCCAACATCTACTGCTATGGTTATTTACAATTATCTATACTTGTCACCACATTGCAGCAAGTATACGACTACGACACGTTTACAGCAGACGACATAATGGGAGAAGCAGAAATTGATCTCCAGCCCTTGATAACATCAGCAATGGCATTTGGGGATGCTGGAATGTTTTCAAACATGCAAATTGGAAAATGGCTGAAATCACACGATAATGCTCTCATAGGCGATAGCACCGTTAATATTGTGGATGGGAAGGTAAAGCAAGAGATATCACTCCAGCTGCAGAACGTGGAATCAGGAGAACTAGATCTAGAGCTAGAATGGATGCCTCTTGGACAATAGGTAAATATAAATCCCAAATCCCTCCCAGTTTTATTGAAACAAGAGTGTTAGTTTTCACATGGTTTGTCCTTGTTCTAACCTCTAAATGTTCAATGCATCTCCATGTCATTTGATAGTTTGGAAAGCATTGGAGTTCAAACTAACTTAAGGCTACTACACTCCAGATTTTCAATATTCTTGTTTACTATATGAGCCCTTTGATTCCTTCAATTTATAAATATATGGTGTCAGCCACATTCTTTTTGTTCACTTTTCATTCAAAACTGGAGTAACCAGTACCAAATAAAATACTGCACACTTTAAGCAAGACAATCTTTCTTAAACACTTAAATCAATGTTCATCTGGAAAAAGAAAGTAATAAATGATCAAATAGAATAATAGCTCAAAATGTTTCCAACAATAATTGGGTACGCTGTTCTAATCATTTTAATATCAAATCTTATCACATTTCTTTGAAACACTTCTCAATATCCCCAGGTCCCCCACGCGTTTTCATGCTTACATGTAAAATTTGGTTGAGAATATTATTTTCTTATAGAAGAGGCAAACACGCAAAGCAATAACATAATCAAAACTTTAAAGAATTTCCTTTTTTTTCTTTTTATTGATATCGACAAATTATTGGTACATGAGCATACAGATTCCCAACATACAATCAATGGCAATAAAATTGTCTAATTTCGTAATTAAAATGACATCTCATACAGTAAGGAAAATTTGGAACTGGGAAATATCACTATTTCAAAAGTTATAACAGTATGACTCTTGGCTAAGACAGCTAGATTCTTGGTGTAAACCGTAATGGTATTATCACAATTGTTGATGATATCTTATCTTTATTTGTGATTACTGTTGTTAGAAGAGAGCGGCAATGATCTTTGATTTTTTACCTTAAAAATGTAGTATAACGTAGAACCGACTAATAAAGTGACACCTGTTATTCCACAAGCCGCCGTCGCCACCAATAGTGCATTTCTCAGTCGTTTATCTCCACCGTCACGGTGGGTCCACCATCCCGGCGCCTCGCTGGAATTCATCGCCTTCGGCAACGGCAATGCCACTTCCGGCGTCGGCGACGAAGTTCCTCCGAAGAACGACCGCATCTCCGGCGACGATTTGTCTCCCGCTGCCGGAAGGCTCTGAAACTCCAGACCATGCTCCGACGGCCGAATCTCCAGCGCCGCCGCGATTGCGACGATAAACAGCAAATACACGGCCATCGCTGCCATCGATTTGATAGTAATCATCGGCGCTGATTCCTCGACCACGAAGCGAGCTGTGCGTCTCGATTTGCTTCGTTCTTCTTCCTCGATTGTGTTTAGAGTACTATAACGCGGAAAAAACTTGTGAATTAGGCAATGGAAGAAAGGGGAAAGAGTGATTCAGAGTGTTAAGAACAATCATGGGACGAAGATTGGATTTGGCGTAAAGGGGAAGCAAACGAATGCGGTTTATAATCTCTCACTTTTTTCGCAAACCTTTATATCTCTGTTTGGTTCTCGGGAAAAAGTTTGAGCAGAAGCTCTGAGCTTTTCGGACAAATTACATTTTTTTTTTCTCCACATATATAATTTAAAAATTTTGCAACCGCAATTTTATTTACTTGTTATCTAATCATTTATTATTTTTTTATTTTATTTTATTTAAATCAATGAGAATTTAAATCTCTCTTACTATTCTATTTAATTATAAAATATAAATATTTGGTTGACTTAATTAGAAATATTATAAAGACATGCTGTTATTGACTCACTCCACTATATCCACTCTAATAATTTCAATTCAACTATAGATAACTTTAGAGTTAACAAATAATATATATATAAAATTTTAAATTATGTTTAATCTATAAAATTTATTTCTCATATACTAACATCGAAAGTTTAGATTTTAGAATCAACAGTGATGTATAACTGTGTAAGTCAAAGTTGGTAGACGGTGGACCATGCTATTTCACATCATCCCCACTGTCAAATATCTTCATATTCCCATTGATTTAGACCTTTCATTTTAACCACGTACTTTAATTAACGACACCCCTTAACAATTCTATTTTAGCTTAATTTAACATTATTATCTTGTGCTCTCTAAGCTGACTTTTCTTTAAAGTTTTAAAATGCGTATTAGAGAGAAGTTTCAACACCGTTATAAAAAATGCTCTGTTTCCCTCTTCCACCTATTATAGTTTAAATGTCTCGATATTTTCATGTATTTCTTGCGACATGGTCATGTTACCTACTTGTTGTTTATAAGATTGAAGACTACTGTACCCACAAACCAAAACAAATTTACAAAATTTTTCTAAAAGATCAGAAGCCATCAAAAGGAAAATGCACCTTTTTTTTTTCTTCTTTTTTTTTGGTATAAACAGTAAAAAAAAATACATATTTTTGTTTGTTGCCAATAAACATATAAATTTGACAAAATAACAATTTACCCAAATAATAAAACATTTAAAATCATCTATCAAAGAAAGAACAACAAATTACGAATATTTATTTAGGGTTCAATTCAACTGACCTCCAAACTTTTTATTATTATTATTATTATTTTCACTTTTTGATCGTCTTCTTCTTGTTCTTGGCCTTCTCTGCCCTATCCACCAACCAGTTAAATATGGTGCCATAGACAAGCTCCACATTCTCCTTCGGCTCGCCGATCAACTGGTGCCACGTTCCGGGATAAACCTTCAACGTCTTGTCCTCACTCGCCGCCGATTCGAACACAAATCTCGCCGACCGGCTGTCGCAAACAACGTCGTCTTCCCCATGAACCATCAGCATCGGAATCCTAATTTCATGGCAGTTCGTCTTTATGTACTCGCAGACTCGAAGAAACTCCAATGCCGTCGCCATCGGCGGTTTTCCCGAGAATCGCCGATTGGGGTTTCTAGCCACCAATCTCCTCTTCCACTCCTCTTTGTACGATTTACCCGCGAGCGGTTTCGATACGACCAATCGCAGTGACGGCGCTAAAGACGCCGCTAATGGAAGAAGCTTCTCCAATGGCCAAATCGGTTTGAATTTCGCCGATATTCCACACATGGAGCCGTTCAACACGATTCCATTCCAAACCTCCATTTGCTTCAGGGCAATAAGCATCGAAATTGCGCCGCCTAGTGATTCTCCATAGAGAAAGGCAGGAAGGGTGGGATTCTGTTCTCGAACAGAGTCGAAAAACAGAGTGCAATCAAGAAGGAGGAGTTCGATATCTGGGATATAACCAGGGGAGCCTTCGGAGCGGCCATGACCTTGAAGATCCAGAGAGCAAACAAGGAACCCATATTTGGCTATGGCGACAGCAGTGAGCTCGAAGATCCATCCGCTGTCAGAGGAGTAGCCATGGACCATGGCTACAACCCCTTTGAGCTCTGCGTCCGCAGCAGGGCGCCATGATTGAGTGAAGATTTTCATCTTCTGGGCATTGAGGATGAAGCTTTCATAGTGAGTAACTTTGTGTTTCTTGTAGAATTCTTCTCTTGTTAGGCCTCCGTAGGGGCTGTTTTCGTTGGCCTCGTTTATTGGGTGTGACATTTTTAACAACAGAGGGAGTGATGAAAAAGATAAGTAGGGATATCTATATATATATATATATCTGAATTTGGTTTCAATGAGTGTGCGTAAACGTTTTGGTCCAGTTTTCAAGGGACAACGACATTGAATCATGACGTGGGTCGAGCAGCATCAGAACATACCAAAATTTAGTGTGAACAAAAGAACCAACTAAATATGTAACTGTCTATAATCACAATAAACTTCAATTTTTCCCCTTCTTTTTTCATTTAAACTATAACTATCTGTCTCTTTCTGGACGGATTCTTGACTTTACTGGTTAAATGTATTAGTGAGAATAACAAGAGTCCTAGAAAGAGTATACTTTCTTTGGTCGTGTTAAGTCGGGTGAACGAATATCACATGAGCTTAACAAGTATTAGTCAAAGTTCAAGTAGAATTTGTGTATACCTATAGGAACATAGACGAGTGGATATTTTTAGGTTGATTTGTGTATTAAGCAATTTTTGGGTGTTGTCTAACCTAAGCTACACATACCCACTTGTGGGCTACGTGGCGTATGAATGCCACCTGTCATTTCTTATTTAATTTATTCAATTTTTTCCTGCTTGTTTCTGATGTGTATTTAATTTTCATTTATTCTGGATGGCTGTGATATCCCAGTGAGTGGTTTGCTGCCCAACTACTAATTAATCGTATATTTTTATATTGTTATTGTTATAATTATCACGTAGTTTAATGTCAAGAGATAAAGTGACAGCCAAACAAATGCAATAAAGGCCGAAGATATGTGGTCTTAGAAAATAACAATTTTTATATTCCAAACCAACTTGGATATTTATCATACACATATTTTTTTTATTTCTTTCATAAAAAGACAAACTAATTTTTTAATAATTCCTTCAAGTTATTATTATATTTTTAACAAACTCCCAAATAAAATTTATGGGTTAACACTAGATGTCAAATCGAGTTGATGTGGCTAAGAGTGTTTCAACCTGCAAAAACAAATTGATTTGAATTGAATAATCTGAGTTATTCGATCCTTACATGATATGAATACTCTTAATTAGGATACTTTTAATTTTTGATAATATAAATGAATGAATTGGTGGTAGGGCAGGGCAGGGCGTAAGATAGGATAATGAATAGTTAATTATGATTATTGAGTATTATAATTGATAGAGTATTATTAAGAAATGTGAAAATGATCATAAATAAGGGTTTTTCATGATGGTCTAGTTTATAGACAAACCAAATAGACATCCCACTTTGTCGCACCCTATATATTTATTTAAAAAAGTGAGGCCCAGAAGTGGTTTTGTATTTATTTATTTAAAAGAGTGAGGCCCAGTGGTTCTCCAACCACTCCTATTGAATCAATTATTAATATGGACAGAAGGACCCAACAGAAATTGAAGGATATTAATAGAGTATGAACATAATTGTTGCTTTGCAACTAAGCAATTTCACTTTTCTTTTCTCTCTTTTTCAGAGTTTTTTTTTTTAGGTTTAGTGGGATTTGGAACTTTTCAATAAGATTGGGTTGAATCAGGCTTAATCGTATGCCCATTTGGATTGCCTCGAACTTGAGGTAAGGTGAGATTATAAGTTTTCGGTGCTTCACGGCTAAATTTCATCTTAGATATGGATTTATCTATGCTTCTATTTATTTGAGTTTCATATAATTGGTTAAATTCTATGGCTAAAGAGGTTAGGCAGCCTTGACCACATTAAGTAGGTTGACGCTCCTTTAGTACCATTTATTTTTTTTACTCCTTAATATATTAAAATTAAATTTAAAAGGAAAATATCAATTAAAAAAAAAAAAAAAGCTGAATATTCAAATACAAACAAATTATCAATTTTGGATATATCCCCCGAATATATTAAATGTTATATTTATTTTTTAATTAGTTATTCCAGTTTATCAATTCCAAAACTTTACGAATGGAATCTGAAATATCGACAAAAAAAAAAAGAAAAAAAAAAAGAAAAAAAGAGAGATTAATTTAGAGTTTGGACGGGGCAAATGTTGTAAATACCTTCTATTCTGGGGGGCCGGTTCCTGTTTCTAAATTCTACCTTCCCTCTCCCGCTCACCAAGTCCTTCCCTTCCACCTTGCTTTCGTTTTTCGCAGCAAAACCCTAATTTAGCTGAACTCATAAACACAATTATTGCTGGCTTACCAGTGGGGGACCCTCGAAGATTTTCCTCCCTTGTCTTCTTCAGGTTTCCAGAAGCTGTTGACCGTTAATTTCGCCCGTTCTTGTCTTCTGCTCTGCTTCAACAGTAAGTACAAATTGTGTTTGTTTTCCTGGTGTTTTGATTCTTCCTGTTAGGTTTTTTGTATTCGGTGTAGTGTTCCTTGCTCGACTTGCACTGAATTGGCACTTTAGTTGCTGCCTTTTTGGTTCTCGAGCTAATGCCCAGTTGCCAATGAAGTCTTTCGGAAAAGGGAGTTCTGAAAATTTGGCTGATTTTCATACGAGGAAGCCGATTTACTCTGTACCATAACAGTGAAACGGGAATTTTGTTTTCCTCGGAATTTTCATGCCATAGAAGAGTAGGTTTTAGTCTCACGCTCATTCATCTTCTAAATGATCTAGTTCACTCTTCTGTGATATGGTTCACGCCCTTCCGATTCGGTCATATTCGTTATATTTTTTGTTAAACTCAATAACATATGAGTTGTATTGTTTTCCTCGTTAGGATGCCATTGCAAGTCTGAGAAGATATGGATGCAAATGCGCCTCTGGAGGAGAACGGTAAGATGGAGCTTAGTGATAGTGATAAACAAGATGAGGATTTGGGCGACGACATTCTCGAGGATTTGGACTCTTATTTGCAAGACATCAATGATCGGCTGACCATTTCGAGGATGGTAAGTGACTCTGTCATCAAGGGTATGGTAAATGCAATTTCTCAGGAGGCGCATGAGAAAATCACTCAGAAAGAACTGGAGGTGTCTGAATTGAAAGAAATAGTACACTCCTACCACTTGGGATCTGAGAAAAATGAGTTCTTGGTGTCTCCACCGATGTCGTGGAAGCCAAAAATTTCTGAACATGACAGAAACGACAGCATCTCTGGTGCATTTTTTGAGCATGATGAAATGAGGGAATCCATGTGCAGCCTAAAGAATTCAACTGAGGAGAACTTCAAGAAACTAAGGAAAGAAATTGATAGAATAAGAGGAGAAAACTCAATTAGAAAGATCAATTCAGGCTCTGAGTTGGTTGGATTTGGATTGAGTGGTATACTACAAGAAAAAGCATCTTCAAGATGTATTGATGTCGATAAAATAGTCGATGATCTTCAAGATAATCTAGACACTTACTATAAGCAGGTGGAAGACATAGTTCAATTGTCCAAAGCATCTCTTGGTCAGTGGCAAGTTGAGCAAGAGTACCTATCTGATATTGAAGGCATGGTTATTAGAAATTATATCTGTTGTGTTCAAGAAGAGTTCAAGGAGAAACTGTGGGACCAAAAGGCTAAAATTTTGAGTAATGAAAGAAAGATCTCAGCCAAAAAGATTAAAGAAATTTCATGTTTACGTCAAGAATTAGATATCATTTTGAAATCACTATCTCCTTCAGAAATTGGACATTTGATTTCCTATAGTTCTATGGATTCTGATCATTCCCATCGCAAGTTACATATGACTCCATCGACTTTGCTTTGGGAAGGAAATGGCAAACATGAAATGTCCAAGACAAATCTTCCGACGAATGTGGACCCTGCTCGTCTGAAGCATTTGACTAGAGATGAATTAATTAATCATTTCAATGCTGAGATGACAAAAATGAGTAGAAACCACGAGTCCCAAGTACATCAAATTACTGAAGAAAATTTCACCCTCAAGAGAGAACTTTTGAAAGAAAAAGAGAAGTCATCTTTATTGAAGAAGGATAAAGAGTTTGACATACTAAGGAGAAAAATCCCTGACATCATTCTAAAATTAGATGACATTGTTATGGAAAATGAGAAAATACAGTCATCTGATGCTAATGATGAGAACCTGGGGACAATGAGGAAAAGATTGGAGTCTCTTATTTCAGAAAATCACCACCTTAATGACTTGCTTGGAGAAAAGATAAAGGAGGTTAAATGTTTGTCTTTTCAAGTTTCAAGCCACGCTGAGCAAATGTCCCAACATTCTCTTTTACATGTCAAGTCATTGAATACGATTGAAAGAATTACATGTGAAATGCAGGATGCACAATTTGAAGCCTCAATTTGTGAGGATATAGTCAAATGCTTTCTAAGGGAGACGATAGACCAAATCAGATACACCCCAGAGGAGTCAGCTTTGAGATATGATATCATGCAAGGAATTTATAAAACCATCCTCCAAGGAGCTTCTTTCATAGGTGAGCTTCCTAGTTCATCTGAAAATGAACATTTAGATGAGGAATCCGTCATTATGCAAAGTATTCTGGGAGTGGTTTTACAAGAATCCTTGAAAGAAGCTGAGGAGAAAATGTCTAGCTTGAACAGCAGATATATGGAAGAGATGAGAATTCGACTGTCCCTTGAAACGAAGGTGTTTCATTGTGGTGAGGCATTAGGAGTAGCGGCTTTTGAAAAAGAAAAGTTAGAAGCAGAATTATTATCATTGAGATCATCATTAAAAGAAAAAGAACAACGTGTGCAAGAAATAATTTTTGAATTAGAAAAAGAGAAAGAGAAGGTGGCTTTAGCTTATGAAGAGGTTGACTCTTTGAAGGATCAGACCAACATGCAGGAAATACTTATTTTGAAAAGCCAAGAAGAGTCCAATACTGCCAATCTTAAATTGACTGAGGCCATGCAGAAAGTTGAATTACTTGAGGTGGAAACTTGCGAGTCAAAACAGAACCTTGAACAAGCAATGGCAGAATTAAGCAAGGTTGATGAAGAAAGGAGGATGCTTGCTGCCATGGTGTCAGAACATAAGGAGACTATGTTATTGGTTGAGGAGAAAGAAAAGGAATCTAAAAAGCAGATAGAATCAGTGATTTTTGTTGTCCAGGAT